AAGCACATGGGCAACAATCAAAACTACCCCTTTGTTTTTGTGTCTCTGAGACTACAGAAATGAATAGCAGGGCTAGCTCTTACCTGGAGCTCACTCTACCAGAGTACAAAAAAATTACCAAACTATAGTTAAAGAGAGCTCTAAAGGAAATAGTCTTTTCTTAAACACAAATAAAAATAGTCTTTGGTATTCTGTTTCACTAAATTGCTGGCCATCGCTCACACTGATACACTGAATCTCTTATAAAAGAAATTAAACACAACTTAATAAGTTTCTATGCCTCAGGCTACTCCAAGATGAGGACATAGCTGTCACGCAAGAACCTGGAGTGCTACGCCCTGCAGGGCTAACAAAACATTTGTTGGTTACATAGGGGCAGGTTTAAAAGCAAACCTGCCAACCTGCAGAGTTTATATTATAGACTTCCCAAACAGATGTTTTTATACAGTTATAGATGAATGATATGGCAGTTTTGCCATCAATTCTGTGTCAATGCTGTTTCAACACATTAATCACTCTCTAGGCATAGATTATCATACACACTGTATTTGTACAAGAGTCTCAGGGTCAAACTACTCATGAGCCTAAATGCGTCTTTATATCTAGCATATCTTGTTTGTTTCTTTTAATACAGCACTGATTAACATTATCAGAGTAGACATGGAAAGGAAATGCAACCCACTGCTCCCCTACTGCAGTCCTGGAGAAAGTCCCTCTGTTGAAGCTAGTACTTGCACAGGGAGGAAATCAACCTTTGGCACCAACTAACCATTTATGAATCATCAGCATAGTTTTAAACAGGAATATCTTCAGTCAACATATGAAGTATATACTCTGCATCTACTGCTGTCTTTTACTTACTATACAGTTTTGTCATAGTTCAAAACTGTATCTGAGAGAGATGAAATCATGCTACCTGTTAGCAATACATTGTTTCATAACAGGTGCTCTATCAACAGGTGCAGAAGAACAAGCTCATAAGTAGAATCAAATTGTGTAATATGCCTTGCAAGTTTCAACAAGAACTGTCAGTGATATCTGCTGTGCATTACATGATGAGGTAAACAGTAGTAAGCCAGTTTGTTCAGACAAATTAAAGAACATTTTAAAATTCAAGTCCTATTCAGATGCTACTTCTTTCTCTGCTCCTCTGTGCCCTGCCAAATATTGACACATGGTGAAAATGAGAGTGCAGTGGTCTGTTTCAGTTGCATACGCAAACCCTCACAAAATCCACAGTAACTACCACATAGGGAGATTCTGCATTCATTTGAAAGTATGATTGTCCTGATCTCATGATACAGAACCTGCTTTCCAAGTGATTGCTACACAGAAGTCTGAAGGAAAGCATCCAGCATTCACACATGCAGCATCTGCAGTGAAATTACTTTTTATGAAACAGATTCTAAGTCAAGGATAGGCAATCTTCTTTGGCCTGTGGGCACATTTGGCGGTTTGAGAAACTGTACTGGGAACCACCACAGCTGCCATAGGAGGCACTGGCTGGTCACAAAAAAATAGTATCATGGGCCAAAGGACTACATACAAGGCAGAGGCGACCAAACAACTTTTCTGAACACAATGACACACAGAAAGCTATTTCACAGAAAGAAAATACTTCCTTAACCTTCTGTCAGCCAACCCATTCCCCTGTCTGTCTCCCTCTCTCACATACAGGTACCATGTATTCAGCAGACAGACTGACAGACATATGCCCCTCTCTTGTCATCACAAGCAAAACAAGCAGAAGGGGTAGATTAGCTCGACGGGCATCAAGAAAGTTGTTGGGGTGGTACACTGGTTTCCATGGGACCCATGCTGCCTGTGACTCCTGCTGTACAGTGCGAGGGTAAACCCCAGATTCATTACCACTTTTACACATACAAACTTGCAGAGGAAGAAACAGCATCTGAGTCTACAGTCCATATTTTGATTAGGAGAGTTTAAATATATAAAATTACATCTCAACTACATCCTCTGTCATTAGAGTATAATAGTTTGTCCACTGGGTCCAAGGTAATTCACCTATCAGATTTGCTCAAATGCAGTCACTAAAATATATTTGGCTTTCACATATTTTACAAGAACTACTTTTGATAGAAAGCCTCTTTTGATATGGTATTGAACTGGACCAACAAGTTAAACTTAGGCAAGCTAGATTCTCTCAAGTTCAGTTCCATCTCCCTCTACCGCCAACTACATTATAGGGTGTACAATAAATATTATTGATACAATGCTTTGAGAAGTAATTTGAGCACCAGGGTGTGCACATGTACTATTTTACAAGTGCCACTCAATGCTGTTTGTGAAATGTACATTCCTGGTTTAGGAAGTACTGGGGATTTTCCAGAGTAAGGCAGGGCAGTTCTAGTTACATTGCCTTTCCTCCCATTATCCTTCCTCTCCCTTGCTGCAGCACTCTTTACTGATGTTGCCAGATACGCCAGGACTGGAGCACTCCATGTTGCAACTGAGAGAGGAAACCACGTGAAACCACATTGTCTGCCTTGTATACTCTCCCCAGGCAAGTTGGGATTAGTTCTAGAAAGAGCAAACCCATGAAAGACCAGGGGAAGGAAGCACTAAGAGAAAGAAGGAACGGCAGAATCAAATGCCTCGCAAGTAGCTTCTCCCTATCACATTCAAGCATTACAAAACCACAAATAATGGAAAATGCCAAAAGTGAAAGAACCAGATTATCCTATGTAGACTAATTCTTTTAGGGAGGGAGTTTCATTGAAAATAATCCTAGTAAGCAAAACATTGTTATAAATGAGTAGATGAAGCAATGCAAATTATACAAATGCCATTTGAGCAAATACATGAATTAGATTTAATATACATAAAATCCATTCAATGTCTTTAAAACTAATAGTTATCCACCTCCACTTCTAAAATATTTGCTGACTCTGTTAAACTAGTTGTTCACTTTACATTTCACCATAAAAACTGAAGAGCCACTGAAGACATTGAAAAACACCACTCCAAATCTAAATAATGCAAGAACAGCAGGATGAAACAATCAAGAGGACAGCCAAATCAATAAATACTGCCCAATATTGTGTTGTCACTCTAAAGGGAAGAAAAACGCATACAAAGATGGGTAAGGTTCTGCTTCCTGATTCCAAGCAAAATACATCTCACTCTAGTTTCAGTTCAACATGTTAAGTTTTCACCTGTTTTGCTTAACATGCACTAATAACAGGTGGAATAAAACGACATACAACAAAGGAGTTATGACTAACATTAGAGTAATATGCACCCTGCATGTTTCATCATGCACAAACAACTTTTGTCAAGCAGCTGAGGAAGACATTTCACCCTTACACCTTGCAAAACAGAAATCCAGTCATTTCTTTTGCTTTAAGGAAAATTAAAGAAAATATAGAATAAATTTTATATACAATGCAATGTTTGTGAAAGTTCACTAATACTACATCTTAGTATAATGAAGGAATAGAATTTGGATAGGTTTCTATAGACAAAAAGGATTGAGTATAGGTAGTGTGCTCTGCTCTTAAGCAGTGGGTTGTTGTTGAAAAAATGGGTTATCATGTTGTTTGCAATGAGCTTCACTAACAAACCATGGCTTGATAGCCATAAACAAATCATGAAGAAAATTCACAGTTTGTTACTGGGTGTTCACCATGGTTTTTCTCTAGGCTGGGTTCAGACAACATGATAACCACATTTCAATAATCCATGGTTCAAAACCAACCCAGCCTACAGCCAAACCTTGAGTGTGGGTTATCATGTTGCCTGAACCCAATCAATGCCTACAACTGAATTCCACAGGACAAAATAACCCAGTTCTCACAGCTATATGCTGCCTCCAGATCAGAGCAGTAAGCCTTTCAATACCAGTTGCTAGGGAGTTTTGGAAAGAGGGTACTGCTTAACTCGTGTCCTGCTTGTGGGATTCTGTGGGTGGGTGGCCGCAGTGTGAACAAAATACTGAACTAGATGGACCTGCAGTCTGACTCAGTACAGTTTATGATCTTACTTTCTCCAGTAAACTTGAATGCTGCCATTTGCTTCTAGGCAGAAGAGCAAACCACTGTACTTGAAGACAATGCACCTAATAATGAACAGGACAGTGGGGGTGTATGAAAGAATTTTTTATTCACACCTCTTTTCATTACTGAGTCCTATGAAGCAGACTGTAAGGGGAACAATGAGACCAGCTTCTCTACACACAGAATGGTTATAATGAGTTGATGCATAAGACTCTGATTTCATAAGCTTATTGTTAATGTGTAAAATACCCAGTTCTAATACAACCAAGGTCAGATAATGATTTGTGGCAGCAATTTAACAGCAGTTTCCCCATTTGGATGCCATGAAAAACTGCAGTTTAAACAAGGCAGGATAAAAGCACCAAGGCTGGGCTCATGAGGAAAAGGAAAAGGAAAAGAAAATGAGCACACATTTCATTCTCATGCAAATAATCTACACTGTAACACACTAAAACTGGGCATCTGTCAAAATATTTCCCTTAGTTGGTCTGCAATTAACCATTTCATGCCATTTACAACCAAACTAGTAATTAATAATGTCAAAAAATGATCAATTAACACCACCTAAACAATTTCATTTTCAGTGGCAAGAAGTTCAAATCCATCCTATTCAGAGGCTAAGCACAACTTTCAAAGTCTGGCCAAAGGCAAATAGTTTTCTGAAGATGATACATTTAACACTGGCCACTCCCATAGTAATGGAGAAATTTAGCGGGTGCAACTTCTCTTATCACCATTCTAAGAAGATGAAAAAAGACTTGCATCTGACTAAATCTTCCCTGTTATACAACTATTAATACCCAAGGAATTTGTTCCATATTTTATCTGGAGCCCACATATAATTCATTATTTATTATAAACATGTTCTAAACTTAATGGATGGGAAGATAATAAATAATTGAATGCTAGCTACTGAATTTCTGCCAACAAGAACATTTGAAAGAAAAAAATGGGATTATCTTTGAAATTAACAGCATTGTTTACCAAAGCTTGAAGCATGCCATCCATTGCAATAGTACCCTCAATAGACTGAAAGGAGGATTTAGATAAGGTTGAAAGCGTCCAGTCCAGGAAGTCAGCCATTCGTTTTTGTTTGACATCAGGGCGGGTAATAAACCTAATGCAGGAAGGAAAAAAAAACACCGCAAGTTACCTTTTCAGGGCATTTCAGTTGGTAACTCATTTTTCCTGTTAGCTAAACTGGTTTTTGTTCCCAAAGGCAATTGTCCAATGGATGCTTTCCAACATAGTTAGTTTGGGAACATTTCAACTATCAGCTCTTTAACTCTGTCTTTGCTAAAGCAGGTCATAACCCAGAAATTACAACTGTCACAGTTTACACCCAAACTGGGAGTACCAGGGAGGAGAAGGGAAACTGAAATTTATTCAATTATAACAGGTTCATTATTTGAAAATAGTTCCAATATCACATTTCCTGTCTCCCTAGAACTCCTTATGGGTAAGACGTAATGCTCAATATGTCTGGCTTTTCTATTATTTGAACAGCTGATAACAAAACATGGGACTGGCAAACTGCATTCTTTATTAGGAAAATAATAAGAGTGATTGATGATAACAATGCCTGGAGCAAAAATTCAATGTTCTTCCAAACAAGAATTAGTAGAGAACCCCAGTATTAGTTCCACCTACTCTTATTAAGGAAAGGATGTATTCCCCACTTATTTTTCACTAAAAATAGCAGTAGAGTGGAACAAAGAAAATACTTCATCCATCTATATCATAATATAGTTTTATCTTTTTTTTTCTTTATGTAGTTGTGCACTAGACTGCCGCCTTCCATACTTTGCCTAATCCAAAACTAAGTATGTTGGTTTGTTCAAAATGTCCACTAGATGTCACTAGAAACCCACATTTACCTCACTTCAATACTCTGTGGCCACATGCTCATCTAACACATTCTCTGTGAAGCCTGAAAACCCACTTCCTATAGATGCTCCATACTCACATTCTTAAAATGTCTTCATCTTGTAAAAGAGCCAGTGATAGTATTTCTAATTCTTAGCTTCCAAACAATTTTCCCAATGTAAACCAGTATATGCAGAAAAAAATGTCACCAAAAGGAAGGTGAAATCAAATCACTGCATTATTTGAAATGTTCTACATAAATGTTGGAGCAGCAAAAAACCATTAAAGGTACCCAGTGGTACTTGCATACAATTAATATAATGACCAGGGCTTTTTTTGTCATATTCAGCATTCCGGCATCTTTTTTTCCCAATGGATTTTACGAAGTGATTTTGAATCGCCTGTCGGCATAGCAGGTCAACAGCAAACATCATTAACATAGTGCCTGTGGGCTGCTTTTGTGTCCGCCAGCTTGGGATTGGCATGTGTGGTCGAGTGCTGAGAGCTTACTGCTGGCAGCGACGTGAGTTCCAGCACCTTTGTTTTTGTTTTAATACAAAAAAAGCACTGATAATGACTACTTACATTTTACATGTAAACTTTAGGTTTGATGGTTAAGAAGAAATTAGCACCATAAGTCAGTGCATATGATAGAAATCCACTGCTAGTATCACAACTATCCCTTTCTTGCAGTGAATGAATAAATCCATTTATAATAACCAATTAAACTGTCACAATATGAAAAGGCATCAATTTAATTTATATACCCATCTTTCTAAAAGTGAATTCAGGAGTTAAGTGCTAACAGAAATGAAAACAAGATGAGGCCACTGACAAACAAGAGGGAAGCATCTTCATGTTCAGATGCTTGGGTAAGCAAAATATTAAAAAGGGGCGTGAGGGCAAAAAGACTTAAAAAAAGGGTGCACAAAAAAAAAAAAGTGGCCTCCAAGAACCATGGAGTGGGGGGTGGGGAGAACACTGAGTTGGCCTGCCTCAGCCAGCTTGCAGGATTCTGGACAAGGTCATAGTTAGTGTGCACTCTGAGCAGAACTCCCGTTAAGAGATGACGACACTGCAACATTGTGTTGCAGGTCCCATTTGTCCATACATTGACCTTAAACTGAAACAAGGTGTGTCACAAACAAGATGTGCTCTACTTGGGCCTGCCCTTGGAAAGTGACCAGTGCAATGAGCAGACTGTGTTGTAAAGAATGTATAAAAGAGCTCTTGAAGTTACTTCAGTGATTTCCAGTATGGTTTCCAGGTCAAATTTAAGGTGTTAGTTCTTAGTTATTAAGTGATAAGTCGGGGCCACCCTATCCAGTAATAAATCTGCCCATAAATTACAATAATCAGAGGCACTCTTACATGTCCTACATGGTAAAGGGTTTAGGTTGGTGGGCAGAAAAGACAGTGAAAAAGACATACTAGCACAGAGTTATGGAAATTCCCTAGTCCTCTGGAATAGTCTAGAATCGAATAGTCCTCTGTGGGCAGTGAAGATATTATTGTTTCATCAAGACATTAATGCATTTTTATGTCTAACATCTTTGCTTCTGCTTTTTGTTATTATTTTTATTATTAAGCCTGCAATTTATTGCATTTTATTATTGTTACTGCTTTATTTAATTTGTATATATAAACATTTCTAATAAAATAATGGACATATATTTCTGGTCAATATCAGCACAAGTGACTTACTTTGAGACCAGGACTGCAGCTGCATCTCGAGATTTGTCACTTACCAGAAGGTAAGACTAAAGAGAAAAACAGTGTCAGTACAGTCTGCCATATTAAACCTAAGAATACAAAATGCTTATATGTAAAATTCTTCATTCTTTATCTCTTCAAGTCAGGATGGTACAAACCATGGACAAAGTGTTTGATCGTGTGATACAGATATTTAACCTAGCATTTATGGCAAGTGCAAAAGATGGAGTCCACTATAATACCCATAAGCAATACTGACCTGTCTTTCCAATTTTTTTCCCCTAAGCTCTGAATGTTAAGGCTCCTCCTCATGTGACTAAGAGGAAAAGTAAAGTGTCAGATCTTATCCCAGATCAATACCTCTACTTCATACTAGAAAGGAGGCCACCCTATCTTTACAGATTATTGGGAGAGGAGCAGGGCCTTTATGGACATTGCCCAAACCCTCAAACCTCCTCCTTCAGAAATCAGGAAACATTCCTTAGCAGAGTTTGGAAACGGTTGACCTGAGTCTTTTTAAGGTATTTGACTTGTAGTTTATTTTTATAGTTCAATTCTGTTTTAGTGTTGATAGAATTTTTTATTCTCTCTAAATCAAGGGTAGGCAATGTCATACCCACACCAATGGGGACAACTTTCTTGGCTTCTATGGAACCCTACTTCTCCCACTCATGTAAGTTCTTACATATACCTTGTATCACTTCAAAGCAAAGTAAGGGCCTCCAGCTACTGCCATCTTCATTTCTCATAAATGCTTCTGAACTATATACATTGAGCTCTCAGGCAGGAAATGAGGAGAGCGGATGGCTGCACGGAGTAGAAGGGAGGGACATGCATGTATGTATGCATGCTTACACAATAGATACACAAAATGCTTCAGTGTGTTTCTTAGAACGAATACAGCACAGGACAAAAACAAGAGACCATTCACAGGTGGTGCACCAGAGTGTGAAAGAAAAAGGCATAGAGATAATGAGTTTGCTAGCAGGGGCTGGAGCAAAAAAAAAAGAAAAATATTTCCTTTGTGTAAGGGAAACAGAGTTCTGTTAGTACTGAACACTGAGCACCAAGGAAGTGTTTAGTGCGCAAGACTCAGATTCTGCTTCTGCTTTTTGCTTATTCTTTAGTGCAACTTACTTCAGCCTCTAGAGGCAATGAAAATAAAATAAAGCAAGAGTGGCAGTGGCACATGAACATTTCAGAAAACAATTATTCAGGTTGCAATCCAGCAGTCACTTAAATGGAATAAAACCACTGAACTGAATGGGACTGACTTCTGAGAAGACATGTATAAGATGTTATTGTAAGCATAATAGCAAGAGAGTACTGTTAAATTATTACAAAGGACAGAACAGGCATCTCAAACTCTTTTGAACCTGTGGGCCTACTTGGGAATTTGAGAAATTGTTGGGGACAGTACCGCATAATAGCTTGGACTGCAGATGTAGCTTATCACATAAAGGTTGCCATGGGAGCCTGACTAGTTAAAAGCTGCAGAAAACAAGAAATAGGGATGCTAGAAACTGGGAGAAAGGGGAAAGGGTATAATGCCTGACCCTCCCAAACTTATTCTATCTGCAGACACCTTTCCCCTTTGGTTTTTTTTTTCTCTCTCCCTACTTCTAATCTCCAGCATTCCTATTTTTCTCCCCAAAACTTTTTCCTTGCTATTTCTCTCCTTCTAACCTCTGGCTTTGCTCTTGTTTCCCACTCAGCCTATATCATGCTGTTTATCTCAACTCCCTTGCTATTTTGATCTCTCAATGCTTTTCCTCACTACATCCATAGATTATTTTTCAACTTTCCTAGCCCTAGCTTCATTCTTTCTCTTCTTTCCACTTCTTTACCTCACTGATTCTCCTTTCCCCAAAGCTCTAGCCTAGCTCTTTCTTAGCCCTGTACCCCTTTGCTTGGCTTTCTCTTCCTGCCAAGTGAAAAGCTGATCAGCAACAGGAAAGAAACAGAAGAGAGCACCTAAAGTCTAACATTTTTCAGTGTTTTATTGTAATTTTCTGTTAAGGGGTAAGAAGTGAGGAACTGTATGAATGCCACTAGAGGTGTCTGCAAGTGCCATGTCAGACTTATATGATAGAGAATACTTTTATAATAATGTGCCAAGAGGCGAATAAATCTTTGCAGCATCACATACATTTGAAAAGTATTATATCCCATTTTTCCTTTAAAGGTACAGTCCTTGATATGTGGTTGTCACTATATGTCATGTGCAAACAGCAGGAGTTGTTTGACAGTTCAATAATTCTCAAATAACCTACAACAGACCTGCTGCCTATGTTTGGATCACACGGAAAACCATGGCAACCACCTGCTGGGGACTGAATATTAGAAATGGTCAACAGTGCATACCACAACCTAGCATTGCTCATGGAGGGCTTCAGTGATGTAAGAATGTACCAAAACAGAGAAAACCAGCTTATTTGAGCTCACCAGATTTCCTGCACCAGTCCCAATCTGATAATCAGAAGCAAACTGAGTCAAACTTTTTTCACAGACCTCCATTTGTAAGGTAGACTGTGATCTGTGCACATTTTTCAAACTGCCAATTGAACTTTAGAAACAGGCACCAGGAAACCATGTGATTGCAACTGAACTAGTTTGATTTGATCAAACAGAACTAAGATGCATGATTGTCAGGTGCCATTTTGAATAAAAACAGCCATTTTTGCTCAGAACTGAACCGAAAAACACATGGCTTCGAGAAATCTGCACAAAGAATGCTCACTCAGGTGTTCTTCAGGTCCCATTTTTGCACAAAATTAGATCCCCAGTAGTGATCATGCAAACTGGTGCATTATCTAGCAATACTCACTTTTGCTACCGTGAGGATGCGATCCATTGTTGATACTCGAGGGCATCCTTCTAGGGAAGATATATTTCCATCCAGACGTGCCAAATCAAATGGGATCAGGCATGTTACAGACAGCCACAATAACAGCATGTAACGAGTCTCCCATGTCTAATAAGGCACAGAAAAAAAATCTCTTTATCAAATTTGATTTATTTATTTAAAACATTTTTATGCCGCCCCCATCGCAACAAAGCCTCGGGGCGACTCACAACAAGAACAAAATTATACAATAAAAAATACTAAAATTTCAAGTAATGAAATAAATACTGCATGCTTTCAGAAAGCTTACATATGTGAACATCATTCTTATAGTGAAAACCCAGTTTATTATTACCAAAGCAACAGGCAGGTATAAGAAAAAAAATAGGCCTACTTGGTGTGGACAAGATTTATTTTTTTTTAATTGAACAAGAGAAAACAACACTGAAATAAATTTAACAGAACTAAGTTCAATTAGAGTGCTTGACTCATCTACAAGAAGTCTAAGTCTTGATTCCATGAACCCTGTCAAACAATTTCAAGGTTTCTGAATACTCATAAAAACCTATGATAGGAATTTTATTTCTAGGAAAAGATCCATAAATAGCTAATTGCAAAAGTTGCTGGTCAATTCCAGATCTTTTTACCAAGGTGTTCTAATGTTCAAACTGCACCTTTCCAGGTCTCAGAATCCAGTGTGAACTGTAAGACTATAACTGTCTTTAAAAAGTAGGATGATTAGATCTTACAATAGTGCATATCAAATGCAAACAAAACGCCTGCATAGTATTTCAAAGCAGAAGCATGCGTCTGAACATATAAATCCACCTCAGGTCAGGCCACTACTTCATCTAGCCAACTATTAAGCTGCACTGACTAGAAGTGAATCTGCAGGATTTCAAGCCGGAGCCATTCTCAACCCTACATGGAAATGCCAGGAATTTTACTCAGGAACTTTTTCATGCAAAGCATATGTTCTCTCACTGAATTATGGATCTCTCCCACTCATACTCAGCCAACTGTGTGCTCTTGTCACTGCTCCTGAACACCCAATGCTAAATGAGCAACATGGCCTTCAAACCAACAAGTTTTAATAACTGTTCCCTAGCTACTTAAAGCATTTTTAAAAAATTATTTACAGTTCAGAATTACAAAAGACAAGGAACTTACCTCATAGTTTTTTGGATTCTGACGTTCAAGCATAAGTAAAACAGGTTGTACATCAACTACTTCATGAGGAAATAATCGCAGGAAAGTTTTATATCCCCGTACCTAGCAAACAGAAAGACTACCAATTTAATAATTCATTTCCAATTAAAGTAATATAAATTTATTTGTATTTCTGATTTATTTAACCTGCCTTTTAGGGTAAACTCCCTCAAAGTGATTTGCAAAATACACATTACAATTAATAAATTTTCAAATTATAGCCACCATGGTTGAACATGTAGCAAAATCAATAATATTACAATAGAAAACACTGATCAGTAAAGAGTACAATCAAATAAATATTTACAGCTAAAACCATATCATATTTACAGCAGACCAATAAAACTCATACTTAACAGAAAGCACTGGTAAACAAATACAGAGACTCTCGACTATCCGGCCTCCGTACTATCCGGCCTAGTTAAAAAATAACTATCAATGAACAGTAAAATAAGTTTAAATAACTTTTGTAAGAATTAAGCCTACATTTTTCATTAATGTTTTGTTTATTTTAAAAGTGTATGTATTCATACTGTACAGTGTACATGATTTTATGTTTCCTGCAATTAAGTTAGACATTATAAAATTTATCTTAAAATGTGTACGATTTTTATTCTTGGACTTCCTTTTTCTGTAATAAATTTTTAAAACGTACAGTACAGAACAAACATTTATAAAGTACTGGCCTGTACTAAGAGGTCAGAAAATATGAATAAGAGTGGGTTTTGGTATAAAAAGGGTGTTTTTAATGGTATGGCGGGGGTAGGAAGTGAGCATTTATAGAACTCCAGCCTATCTGGCTTTTTTGTTATCCAGCCTGCCCTTCCGCCACATTAGGCCGGATAGTTCGGATAGTTGGGAGTCTACTGTAGGTCTTTAAGGACTATTTCAAGCCCTGTGATGATGGACTTGAGGCACACTGAGTTCCACAAACATGGATCAAGCCAATACTGAGAAAGCTGCCTTGAAACCCCACCAACCTAATTGTTTCATTGACAGATATGTAAGTAGAGCTTCAGGTGCTGATCTAGAAGCATAAGCAGGTGAATATGAGTAAAGAAGCCTTTCAGTGAACTTGGTCCTAAACTGTTTAGGGCTTCAACAATCAATTGCACCACTTGTTATCAACAGAGCTTGCCATTCATTCTCCAGCCTGCCTTTTAAAAATGAACTCAAAGTGGTTTACATTATTCTCCTCCTACTCTCAATCTTATCCAACAACCCTGTGAGATAGGTTGGGCTATATAAGTGACCCCCACCCTGCCCCAAACACACACATACACATCTGAACTGCTACAGTCCAGAAACAGGTTTATCACCTCTATGACAATGAGGACAAAGTACAAGCATGCTGAAGATTAAAGATAAATAATGGTCCAAGGGGAGAAAGTGACTTAGGAAAGAGTGGCTCTAATATAAAATCTAGGTCAATAAGCGATACCATTTGTCCACCCCAGAAACATGAGGGATATGTAGAAGCACCATCAGTGATGATGGGGCTTGGCAACTGGCCATCAAAACATTGGAAACACGAGTGCACTTTTTCAAGATGCCCCTCTAGCAAAATTAGCGGTCAACTATGTATTTGAATCAGGAAGAGATGAATATTTATGCCAGATAGCTATTATTCAAACATCCATCCCTCTGTCTCTGTCTCTGTCTCTGTCTCTGTCTCTGTCTCTCTATCTCTCTCAAGAAAAGCTCCTGTTTCTCAGTATACTTGCTTCCTTCCTTATACTCTCTCAGCTCTGATTAGGCTGTCATACCCAGAAGACTGTTCCAGTACTTGCTTAAAAATAGGTAACTGTACCTGGATCTGTTGGCCTGAACTCTGTAAGCTGCAGTGCAAAGGTTTGTGGTAATGCTTGAGTTTATTGCAGTATTTCTCAACTGTCAAAAATTCATTCTATGAAAACCTCCATTGCCTCCTTGCCATTCCTGACTTTTAAAATTTGCTCTATTAAAACAATTAACCAGAAAGCTGACATGTTGTGAATGAAACCACCAGACTCCACTGTTACATTCCTTTTCAATAAAGCCCCCATACCTCATGAATATAAAAATAACAATTTTAATAACAAATTGTAGCCCAGCAATTTGCTTTGAAATTCCTGCAAATGCCCAGAAAAAAAGCAAAAAATAATATGGGAAAGGGGAGAAAGCCTCATGGGTGTCTACTTGGATTGGGTATGTGTGTGTTTTACCTGGTGAGTGTTTGTGTGTGTTTTTATTCTACAATGAGTTTCAGTAGTTTATTTTGGTGTGGTCAGCCTGGCTTTGGCCTTGTTCTTGGGGTCAAGGTTTTGCCTGGGTTTTTGTCCTCTCCTCTCTGGTGAATTTTGAGGTTTGGGTGGGAATTAAGTGTGTGTATGCCGCTCTGAGTATCACTGATTTACCACCCAAGAAATGGATACTGCTTTAAGAGAATATAAATGTAAACTGGTATTTCGGCTAGAGAGCCCACCTTTCCCTTGTATTCCTCTGAGCTTCAACAGTTTGTTCTCAAAGAAATGAGTGCTGGAGCAAAACACAGGGGGTCCTCCATAACTTCCATTTAAGACAGCAGACACAGTTAAGTTTGGAATGCAACTATCTTTTCTTAATTCTATGTCAAACTTACATCAGTGGACAAAATTGATTCCTAATACTTTGTCCTTTAAGGCAGGGAATTACATATTTCACTCCCTAGAGGTAAGCTAGGTAAGTATGCATTGTTGTTCTTCCACCAAGAAAAGAAGCAACAGGCCTCTTCTTGAGTTTTTCTGACCTATGCTTCCCTTGATTCAAAATCTATCATTTCCAGATTGCCACCTTCTCAAACAATAGTTCAGGCAGGTCCCAGGGCCAAGGAAAGTAGTCAGAGCCAAACCCTCTTCCTTCACTTCCACTCCTACTGACCAGAATGGTTCTCCCCTATAGGCTCCCCTTAACTCTGTGGTTCTTTCCAGTGGGAATTTTCTTCTCCCTCTACCTTTCACCTTTGTATTTTTCCAACTGCCTTCATTCTGCTGCCAAGACAAGCCTGTAGCAGCCAGTGAGTCCTGCTGGTCCCACACATCCACCCAGCATCAAATTTAAAAATGTGTTCAAGTGTTAGTGACCAAACTCCTACGGCAGCTTCACCACCATCCTGTTATCACTTCTACCTCCCTGGCTCCAGTAAATATTCTTTCCTTACTTCACCTCCAATCTAAAGTAAATAGACAGCAATAACCAGAGCCTTGCCACTCCATTCCTCCCCTGCAGAAACCCAGAACTCTTGATACTTTATATGTTCAATAGGACATACAAAACCATTTGTATGTTCATGCTTTGATAGTTAAGATAACCCGCTTTATTTTTTTTTTTTCAGGCAGCTTTTTGTCATTCAGCAAATAAGAAATATAGACTGTATCTGTATCAAAATTGGAATCATTATTTATGGTTAACATCCTTCCATTACAATTAATCAAACTGAGGAGATTTCACCAGCTTTAACACCATCAAGTTTTTGATGTTAACATGGTTAAATGGTTATTCAATCATGTCATAGTTTCTGCTTGCATAAAAGTGAACAGTACATTTGCCTGCATGTGGAAACTAGCATCCATATCATTCATCATCTTATTTCGTTTTCCTGTCTCCATGTCATTGTCAATTGACAACATGAGAGTTCACTCTAGGTTAATTTAATGCATCCAACTTGCAGTGGGTTGTCATGCAATCCCAGGTGGCCAGGGGTTGTTTGAGGGTTAGACAATACTAAAACAAGTTATGGGCTATTCTCAAATAACCCTCAAATTATTCTGTTGCCTGGGTTGGTATAACATGCCAACTCTAGCAAGTTGGATAGGCTCAGGCACAACACAACACATCACAACACAACTCACACCACATTTACATTCTTTCATGTGACCTCTGCTATGTTAATGGTTTAGGATACATCGCTCTTTGACCTAATTTGACAGTGGTAATTAAATCACAGTTCTAATACATTTGAACTTATTTATACCTTTGAAATGATGTAGAGAAATTGAAAGGTCATATGAATTAAAGAAGGAGGAGAAGTTTCATCCCGGATAATATCTAGCAGTGAATTCAACATCCATTCTAAACACAGGGGAAGAGGAAAATGACCATTAGTTTGCAGACTTGTTCAGGATTTTATTTTCATTTCTTGGCTCAGAAATAAATCACGCCTTGAAACTGTGTCTCCTTTTATATAGTCACACCTACATAGAAGCACTGAGTGGCCCACTCACCTTTAAATGGGAAATGTATGTGACCATTTTCACATATACTCCACTATAACTTGTTCTAAAGTAAAAACATGCAGTGTCCTTCAATCTAACTGTGCTGACTTGAAAAGACAGAGTGCTACAAAGTAAAACCCAGAAGAACATTTCTATCAAATTATCAGTTTTTATAGGGACAGAAGAGACAGAGAAATTACTGAAGATCCCAGAAAAGACAATATAACCTCACTGTATTTCCTTGTCCCAATTTAGCTCTAATGGCTTTTAATATATAGGGCTGCAATCCCGTGGCCACTAGACACTGTCTAAATGAGCATAGCAAAGGAAAGAGTCCCAGCTCAAACTTCAAAAACTCATTCTAAGGTCACATCTAGGACTCCAACTGCAGAACCCTCAGCTTCCACCCTTGCAGACAATTGCAAGTGCAACTTCAGAGTTGGCATTGTGGGAGTATTCCAGGGGATGGAAAGTGTGAGGTTCCTCTAGAGTAGAGACCCAATGCTGCCTCTGTTCTTCCTCCTCATGAGCAGGAGCAAAAGACACAGATGTACAAAATAAGCCATCTATGATGTCTTTTGCAGGGCAAGAGAAACACTGAGGCACTTCTTTCTCCACACTCCTCCTGCATTTCACAGAATGTCTGTAATCCTCCAAGTGTGAAGGGTTACAGACAGCCACAATGGATGATGCACTGATCGACTGGTGGCCTGCAAGCTGGCTAATTCTGGATTATTTTCCTGGCCCCCACCACCCTTCTGCTGGTCGATTCAAGTGTGAGGTGCAGCATTGGTTCTGACCTGGCAGGAGTTCCTTCACTTCTCAGGATAGCTATCAGCAAAGTAAGAACAGATGCTGTACTTCACACTCCATTGTAAATAAGGGTGGTGGAACTAGTGTACAACTCAGGAGAGGCACCTAAAAGCTAAGAGGTAAGTGCCATATCTCAGTCATAACCCATTGTGGGAAGTGGAGGACCACAGAAGGATCATGCACTGCTTCTTACTTTGAAGGTACCCCTCCTGAGAAATAAGAGTCACCACCCAAAATTGCATGTTTTGAATTCAGCTGTCCCCTTCTCTCTCTCTCCCGCTACGCCTCTAGAGCAAGCTGAAAGGTCAAACTCAGCACAACTCTCTTCTACTCCACTTTGTACCATTCAGGAACCAATGTATCAATAACATTGAACTGGATATTAGGAACTTCCTGGCAAAGCTTCTGGGGGGAGGAGAAACAACATCATAGCCAAGGGAATCCCAAACAGCTTGGTCACAGGGACAATCTGTCCACCTTGATACTGAAACAAAACAAAGCTTCTTTCAAACTGACTAGAAATGTTTTACATAAGAGATGTAAAGCTTCTCTTTTTACCTCACTACCACCACCCTTCTGTGTTCATGTTCCCTAAATACAAACATGATTGGCCTGGCTATCAACTCCATGGCTTCAACCACTTCTTTTCTAAGCTTTCTAATCCACAACTGGGGAAAACATGCCTCTTATAATTATCAATATCCTGGCTTCATAGCCCAGCTCAGAAAGTAAGAACAAGCATTCTTCTACCTAGGTGACAATTACCTGATAGGTAAAACATAGCTGGAAGTCCCCCACCACCACCACACCATGTTCCCTCCTCTAGTCAAACCTAATAAAATTGAATAGAAATTTTGTTTCTTCATCAATGAGGTTTTCTATCACCTGAGCATCACATCACTCTGAATCCTCCAGTATCTCTTCCATCCAAGAATGCTTGTTGCATTTCAAGATCCCATGACTCCAAGTGGGACTAAATACTTTCAAAAGTTTACTATGGGAAAATAGCTTTCATCTTATGGCATGCTTGGTAAAGTAAGAAAGGACTACCATTCGGTCTCAAACTGAACAATCTGCTAGTGGTGAGCTGTAACATGGATACAAGCAATCATCCATTACAGGACATTATAAGAGACCTTACCTAAATGGAAATCCAAAAGGTGAGGCTGTTCCTGGTAATTGTCCATTATAACTGTAAGACAAAAAACACACATGATAGAAACCATCAATTACGTATCAACCACTTTTCTAATTTTATTGAATTAATCTATGAACTTCTAGCTTGGTAAGAAAATTCTACATCCAGGACCTCTGAATTATATTTAAGTCAGGCTGCTGTGGCCCTTAGGAGTGCAACAATAATACTAGTAGTGAAGGTATTTATCCTGCTAATTTCATTCTTGCTCTTGCTTTATTGTTGTTATGTATTAAGGCTACATTGTTTCATTAATAAATGTATACTACATTTACTGAAAGTGTTAATTATATCTTATTTGAACTTTTTGGTATGTGTTACAATAAGTTATGTTAGTTTTTTTCAGACAATGTATTATGATAATATATTGAGATGCTAACTGCTTATATACAAATTGTATACCAGGTATGAAGATAAGGCAATGACAAAAATGCATTTGTAGAGTATCAATAGCCTACTTTACTGTAAATATAAAGATTCAATTCAGCAGAGAAAAAGAGTAACAAGAATTTAATTATGAAAAATCTAATCATTCTCAATATCTTCAAATACGGACTACATCACTGTTGCAATTAGCAGAGGACATACCAAAGCTGAGATGTAGCCTTGCCTACAAAGTATTGCTGTTCATCATTACTCAGAAATAAGTTCCACTGTCTCTAACAGACCTCACTCTCTAGGAAGTATGTTTGGCTCTGTTCAGTTAATTAATAAAGCAAGCAATGATCTACAGTTGATGAGACACTTTCCGAGGCAATGTCCACACAGGCATCCTTGGGAAATCAGCAATGTTGCCCATGTTGCTGCCCTCCATGTGCCAGGCTGCTGGGAAAAGCAGTGCCAGCACCGTATGCAAATACAGCACATGGGGGTGGGAAGGATTGGACACATGTGCAGTGAGGGATAAGAGTGAGGTGTGGGTGATGAATATGCATTGGCAGTGGGGGTTGCTGCTTTGTTGCTCCTGCAGAGCCAACATTCTACTCTAATGAATAGACAGTGGATCCACAACGCAACAGGAAAAGAAAGCAGCAGGTGGCTCAGATCATGTCCATAGAAGCATGTGAACCAATGAGGCAGAAGCAGTGCACATTGGGATTGATTCCTTGCTGTGGGAGCGGATGGGTACATGCTGCCATTTGAAGGGAAGATGGACATGGAAACTACTCAAGAGTAGATTCCATGTGAATGTGTGACCCCAAGACAGAAGGTAAGATATTATGCCATACAGCAGGGCTCACAAGCTGCATTTTGTTCTTTGAGTTTATTGTGTAGTTCATGACTCGCTGCCACAGGCACCCACTTGCAGCTGCCACTTGCTGTCCACACCACCATTCGTGGATGCCTGCTTGTGGCTCTCAAACACTGGACACTGGTTTTTCCACTAAGCAAGTCTTGCCACCCCTTCCATATGTAACTGCATTGCACTGTTTAACATTATGTATGAGCATAGCCAATCTATACACTTATGTTATTTGACAAGTTTTATATACCATTCACAGCTCATGAGGTTTCTGAACAGTTTGCAACATATAAACATAATTAAAATGCAATTTTTAAGCAACTGTTCAAGCAGTGGAAGTGATACCCAGGGGCCCTTCCCTAATAATCCATCATCTCCTTATAGCGCATGATGTATCTGAAAATGGAGCTATAAAAAGGTAGTGGTCTTACCTTTAAATTTTTGAAGAGCTGTTTCTCGCAATGGCAGTTCTTCATGCACTAATCTGAGATTATTAATCAACTCCTGTGTCTCTTGCTTTTCTGTAAAACTCTCTAGTATGTTTTCCTTGGCAATGACATCAGGCTCCATGCATTTGTTGCCATCTTGCTCAGACCCGTCATCATTCATTTCATTTAGAACCATCTTCCACTCAAATAAATTCTTCTCTAGAAAAAACACAGCAAACTAGAATTTACCAGTAGTTACCCAGACACATTCAATTTGTCATACAACAATCATACTACAATACAGATAAATGAGTGCAAATACAAATGTATTTCAGATCTATATTGGCTATGACCATTCACTCACCAAAGAAAAAGAATACAAAATTATGTTCTTTCTCCTACTGTGTACTTTGTCTTCCAGATGTGTTTCTCTAGAACACTGTTCTGTCCCCACCAAATATCAGCAGTTTCCCAAAAGAAAGATGTGCCGAGAGAGAGAACACAACCACTTAACTTGATTTTTTAGATACAGAGTTTAATGCAGCATAGCATTAAAACTGTGTGTGAATAGGATTAGACATTATTCCTTTCCAAACAAAAATTTCCAAAACATACAGCAATGGAGTATTTTGCACTACTTACATGAAGCCTACTTACATGTTCAACCCAAGGAGAAGTCGCACCCCTTGCCCTGAAAGTCCCCTCTTCAACCTCAGACGAGTTCCAGGTCTGGCTGTCGCTAATCAATCAGAAAGAAAACTCAGTATTCATTACTCATGAACGGAAAAGCATACTACAGAGGCTCACACACGATGAACCTACTAAATATTTATTTATTGCCACGCCCTGGCATGGCATCAAATACAAGCCCTGAAGTAGAAGTGGTGCGGCAAGATGATTTTAACAGCTTGAAGGAGCAACCCTATGCAAGACTATACAGGGGAAAGGGTCTACAACTCCCAGCTTGCCCCAGCAGCATAAGGCATGCTGGAAGTTGTAGTTCTTTTTTCCCAGCAAAGCGTACAGAGGCTGGCGCCGGAGGAGTCACGAGTCGCTGCGAGCCATCCCCACCTCCTCCTCTCAGAGGAACTCCCACAGGGCCACAACTGTCGCCATTTCAAAGGAAACGTGCCGCACCGACGCCCCGCACCTTCCCACAGAGGCCCACGAAGACTTCGCTTTACCTCAGAAACAGCGCTTGTCGTTGGCGCCTGCTCAGAGCCGGGCCTCCTCCGTACGGCTCGTCGCGTGGGACAAAAAGCCTCGCTGCGTCAGAGCTCTGACTCTGAAGGGGGCGGAGGGCCGAAGGGGCTGGGACGCGGTGGGGTCGGCTGGGAGGGAGAACGAATAGGAGTGGGAGGTCACCGAGAGGATGGAGGGAGAGGGTTTTCTCTCGCAGGAGTTGCAGCAAGGAGGGGCTGGTGCCTCCCTCCGAGGAAGTGTTGTCAGTAAGCGGCCTATCAGCGCTCTCCCTTGCCCAGCTCTTGGGGAGCGCCCTTATCCATCATCATCCATCATCAACCGGTGAAGGAGCCTTTCCGCTCCACATCTCGTCCTTGCGCAGTGCGTAGGAAAGAGCTTCCCGAGGGCAGCCGTTAGCACGTTGCAACAGAAACGATGCCGAGTCTTGTGGCATCTTAATGGTTTAATACATTTAACGTGCAATCCTGTGTAAATGTGGACTGAAAGTCCTGCCGCTCCCACGCCCCAGTCAGCAATGTTGTTTGGAGGGTGCTAGGAATTCTGGGACTTCTTTCTGTGCAAACCTGTATAGGATTGCACCCTTAAGTCGTTGGGCTCTTTTACATAAGGGTTTAACCCCCTGTTATGTTGTCATTGGAGAAGGAAAAGTGCAGTCCTTACACGGAACTTTTATTGGGGGGGGGGGTACTTCTTGGCCTATGTATTCTATCAACCAAGCACAAGGTGGCGCTGCCGTATAAGGGAATTGCGACTAGGCCTCACTCTAAAAAGGCTGGAAAATATGGGAGTGGCCCTGAAGGAAGATGCGGAAAAGATTTTAAATTTTCCATGAATGAGGGATGGCGAGCACACAGCAAATGCTTCTTACCACTTAACTAATCTCTAATCCAGGTTCCAAGAAGAATGCTTCTAGATTCTTCCGTCTGCAGTGAGCAGAACAAACTGACACACATGGGGCAAAGAATCCCCTCTTCACATATATGCTGATAGGATCTGCACTGGGAGTGGTCAAACAATAAAAAGATCTTAGGGTCATGGTAGGTAGGGTAATCAAATGTTGATGCATCTGTGCACTTATGCAATTCTTATGTTGGGTGTAATTAGGAAATACATTGAAATTAAACTGCCAATATCATACTAGTGTTGCACAGACTCAAAAAAGAGCTGGAAAGGGTACAGGAAAGGACAGCCAAATGAACAGTGGCTGGGGAAGAGCAACTTCCTCTGTGGTGAAAAATTTCAGTTGCGATGGGATTGTTGAAAAAAAAAGGCAAGAATGGAAACATGGCAGAGATGTGCCTAATTATGCATAATACGGAAAAAGTGGGTGAAGTTTTTCACCTGTCCATCCAAGAAAACCAAAGAACTATCCCATAAAGCTGAAAGGGGGCAGTCAGAACAGATAATGGTTTGTACTTCAGTGATTAGTTAAACTGTGGAATTTGCTCCCACAGAGTAGAATTAAAGTCACTAATTTATACCGATGGCTTGTCTGTGGGCTTTCAACAGGCTCTCCACTCTCCTGCATGAACAGGATGTTGGACTAGGTAGGCTTTTGACATGATGCAGCATGGCTCTTGTGTTCTTTATTATGGCATAAACTTATGTCACTACAGCACCAAACTAGATAGCACCAGAAGGCAACCACCTCTTTTTTTGCCCTAAAACAGCATTTTAAGTTTCTCGGCCAACCATAGACTTCACAGTGTAAAGCAGCCATTTGCCCTTTTCCTTCCTGCCTTTCTTTTGTCTTTCATTCCCTTAAGGAGCCATCCAATGCAAGTTTATACAGAAAGACCGATGAGTTCCAGTTCACACTGCCTTCTCTCTGTTTAAACTTGCATGGGATCACACCTTCGGTTCTCTATCATACAGGGTTGAAGACCTTCTTCCTGCCTAAACTTGCATTAGATTTCATCTTGAGTTTTCTATTCTGTAGGGATATTCAGAAAACTATTTGATTGTGACCAGAATTTTCTATTCATGCTGTTGTTCCCATGCTGTTTACCCAGCCCTGTTCACCTTGCAGGACATGAGAGGCACCACCAGCCTCTTCTTATGCTGGAGAAAGGCTTTTTTTGGTTCCATTAACCCTCTTGGAGGGAAGCTGGTAGGAGTGAGGCTGGGGGAAGGCTTTCCTTCTGTCACAATGAAGCAACCAAAGTGTAATGAAGTAAATCCCATTGAGTCTAATGGGCTTACTCCTACATAATTGTGTGTGCAATTTAAGTGGCACCGGAAATAGAATGTAAGGGGAAATTTATGGAAACTGGAAAAGGACTTCCAAAACATTTATTTGTGATATCAGTAAAGCAGCTCAGAGTTGTGCAGTTGCAACCCTCACACTGTTTTGATCTGCCTCATCTGGTTGTCGTTTTTTCCCCCTTAGGACAGATAGTTTGGTAAGACTTGAGGAGTTCTTAAAAGCTACATTGTTGCATTCATGTTTTCCTCCTTTAGCCAAGGATTCTGCACTGTGTGAGGGGGTGGGAGATGGAGGGGAGAGAAGAAACCATCCTGCCTGAAGTCTCACCTTTCACCAATGTTTGGGTGTTTTGCTTTTCTTCTCACTCTCTTTCCCTGCCCCATAGTAAGAAAGGGTTTAGATAGCAGGAGAGAGCTATAAGGCATCTGAGAAAAAAAAGCTTAGAAACCAGCATTTCATTCAGAAAAAGTAAATAAATTGTACAGACGTGATAGGGTCACTCCAGCTCACATTCCACTTGCTCCCACAACCTGCTCCCTGACTGTAACCAAGTATTAACTTAGAAGACTGTTCCTGAAAGTGCCACAGCAATGCTGGAAAATGTCCCTGGTGCATCTGGAAAATGTCCCTGGTGCTACTCCCTGCCACGGGCAACAGGGAAAGCATATCCATGAAGCCAGCAGCATCAACAGAGGAGCAGCCGAAGTTATGTATCATTCTACAGGTACAGGATACATTAAACAGTGGACACAGGTGCATGCTTATTCATTCCAAGTCCCTAAACACTTGAATAGGAAAAGGAAGACGCACACAGTACTGCCAAGGGAATTGGAGTCCAAGCTTAATTTCTCCCTTAGAAAGAAAGCCCAGTTTGAAGAGTTTGGGAACAGGCTGTGGTTCTCAGTAGAGGGAAAGGCACACAGTGCACATGCTTGGTGTTATTTTCTAATTCAACATTCCTGTCTTTCCTCTTTCCCACCTGCCCTGAGGCTTCTCTTTGTGATGTTAAAGATCCTGATAGCAGGGAATATGAAAGACTTCATCCCAAGACCCTAGAGCATGAGTCCTCAAATTACGCCCCACAGGCTGGATCCAGCCCGCCATGCCCATTGATCTGGCCCGCCATAGCTCGCCACATGCAGGCATGTGGCAAGGTGCTGGCATGCTTGCAAGGAGATCGTTTTGGACTTGCTCGGAGAAAAGGATCTCCTTGCGAGCAAGCTGGGGCCTTGCCCAGAGATCCTTCTCTCCGAGGACTCGTTGGGAGAAAATGATCTCTGTGCACACATGCCCCTGCCTTTTTGTGTGCGTGCACGCACCCCCCCGGCCCACACCCCCTGCCTGCACCACCTTGGTGGCCCGGGCTCATCCCTGGCACCTTTCAACTGGCCCCCTATTCAAAAAGTTTGAGGATCCCTGCCCTAGAGGGCCAGACCAGGTAGAAAATACTAGGCTAGACTAGAAGTCTGTCCTAACTCAGGTAGCTTTCTATATTCTTATAGTGTCAGAGGCTTTGATCTGTAAGTGCCAGCCCCAAACTTGAGCATTGGAGCAATATAGTTGAGGAGCAGGGATGAGAGGAGGATACTGCCTTCATCTCTATACATCCTTGCACAGGACAGAGAGGGAAGTACTTCAAACAGCATCTAACCACCAATGCTAATCCCCCCCACCCCCACCTTCAGGGTATTTCCTATACACTTTGAAGTGCAGGGAGGAATGTCTGGCCAACAGGACAGAGGTGGCTCAGAAGCTTTCCATAATAGGCTCCCTCATCCCCTCCCCTGCCCAGCCCAGCAATTAGGCTTGTAAAACCCCTTCCAAACCTAAAGGTTTGAGACTCCTCTTAGGGTCTCACACGTTAAATGGTGAAGGTATTTAAGAGTGTCAGCAAAGCCAAGAGCAAGGCTCCCACGAGGCCAGATTCTCCCACTGGGCTGGTCTCCTAGCAGAGTCACCCAAGGCGGAATGATCAAAGCTGAGACACCAGACTAAGAGGCAGCTGCCCTCTTCAGGAAGAACCATCACATTATGTGCAGAAGAGAATGGGTATCTCTAATGGTGATGATGGATGGAGAAACTCCCGATACAGACAATAGCAGGAGGGGGGGGGGGGGGAGAGCCATTTCTGCATACCTGCTTATGTAAGAAACTGCTGTCTTATTTTGAGGTAGCTCCATTTCACTTCCAAAGTTAGATGTACTCAACCACCTGGGTTCACTGATGGTGGGAATTATAACAACACATTGTGAGAGCATGTCAACATTTTATTTGACTATCATATTATATACAAAGTAAATGTTGCACAACTTTAATTCAAGTCTGTTATCCTTAAAGTGAATGTTTAAAGCCCTGGATCACTTAGCAAGATATTTTTGTAACTACTTTCCATCATAAATGAAGATTGCCCCAATATTCACTTAATTTACAACGGAAACAGCAAGTGATCATGATGAAGTACGTGACAAAGGACCAATGATTTTTATAGTAACTCTTCCAAATTAAAAATGCTTTAAAATTCTACATGTTGCAAGTCATTCATGCTCCATGAAAAATTCACATAATAGAGAAAACATGGCCATACTAGAACAATCCAGTAGTTATTTCAATATTTACTTACTTTACTATTTATAAATTACTTATATATTTTCTAATGAGAACTGACAATATTAACAATGCATGAAAGTTGTTAATGGCATGCAATCCTGGACTAATCCTTGCAACATTTGTTAGCCAGGGCAGTCCTGCTAGATGGCATGACATTTTTCATCTAAACTTGCATATGACTGAGCCTTAAAGGTGCAATGCAAGGAGTTATAGGCCTTTTTCTGTCTAAACATGCACAGGATTATGCTGTCATTATAGGAAACAGTTCTTTGCAAAACATGTTTCATTGCATTTCTAGACCACCCATAACCGAAGCTCTCTGGGTGGTTCACAGCATTTAAGGCACCCATCCAGATTTCAACCAAGCCTGATGCTGATTAGCTTCTAAGACCAGACAGGATCAAACACTTTAGGCTATATGGAAGCGAGCATCTTCCCTGCTCCAATTACTTTGGTTGCCCTTTTCTGGATATTTTCCAACTCTGTGATCCCCCTTTTTAAAGGTACTGTGACCAGAACTGTACACAGAATTTTATGTATGGTCACACCATAAATTTGTTTAAAACTAGTATGATATCAGCAGTTTTATTTTCAAATTAGTGTACCTAGCATGAAATTTGCCTTTTCCACAACAGCTAAACACTGGGTTGGAGTTTTATGCATAATTCATTAATGTTATTAATAAACCCTTCAGTGTCTTTCTAGGTCAGTCACCATCCGCATGCATATGAAGCTGAGGTCCCCCCACAACAGGCATCACTTTACCCTGTTCACTGCACAACAGAATCATAGAATAGTAGAGTTGGAAGGGGCCATGAAAGCCACCGGGTCCAACCCCCTGCTGTTGCAGGACACCATGTTACACCATTCTAATACACATAAAAGACCCCAGGAGCATTCTCCATGCAAAGGAGAAACTGGTGACTCAGAACCTGGATTACAGGCTCTATAGTTAAGTGTTAAAGACATTGTATACCCATTTGCACAGAAGTGCTTAAAGCTGTGATCCTGAAGTCTACAAAGGCACCTCTGTGTAAAAGCAGGCTTCCTTGCAGTGAGCTGCCCTGTGCCAGCACTGCTTTTGCAGTTGAGGGAACCTTCAAGAGCTGCTTATAATGCAATGCAATGTAGCAATACACGTATGGAAGGAGCGGGGTGGGGGGGATTGTTACGAGCATACAAGCCACCGTGTATGTTTGAATATACTCTCAGATTTGCATGCTCTTCGTTTCTGCAGCTACTCCTTTGAAATTTACTAACCATTCTGAAATTGGCAAAGTACAATGCAGGCTGAACCATGAGTTTCAATAGTGGGGGACCAGATTGCTAACTATAGAACCAACCACAGTGGAACATTGGAAGGTGCCTCATGCGGAGTCAGCCTGTTGATCATTTAGCCCAGTATCACTAAATACAGACATGAGCGGGCAGCACTTCTCCCTGTCATACCAAAGTGCTTATTTATATGTTGGTTAATAATTACAGGATGCAAAAATTATGAAAGCACTGCAAGTGCCTCCTCATCTTTCAAATGCATTTGATGATGTTCTAACACCAAAAAGGAAATCATTTATTCAAGCAGCCCGTGTTTAAGGATTATTTTAAAAGTTTTCGCATAACATTAAGGGTAGATCCCCGGTATCCTGTCCCAAAGTGGTTCCAGTGATTAATATAATTAAATAACTGGTAAAGTTTATTGCGCTTGTCAAAACCTGGAGCCTTGGGGATTTTGCTGTGGTAAGCAGAAAAGAAAGAGCAGCAAAACCCACCAAACATCATAGCAATTGCAAGTTCAAATTCTGAATGGCCGTAGAAACAAGCAGGATCAAAGAGGATTGGGCCAGAGTCATCCTCAGCAACATTTCCTGCCCACAGATCTCCATGAATGAGTGCAGGAATGATCTCCACATCACGGAACATCTCCGGAATCTTTCGCTATAAAAAGCAAAAACAAAAACCTTAACAATCATCCAGGGAAGCCAAACATTTAATGAGAAAATGTCAAGAACTGATACCTTCTAAGGCAGAAAACATTTTAAGTCCTAAATGTCACATTTTTATTTCCTTTAATCTAATGTCTACATTTTACCTATCATGTTTTGGTTAGCATGATTGAGTTATTGATATGCTTTTGCCTGAGAAAATGATGTGGGTAGTCCAGGATTTGACAAAATAATATCACAGCTCTTTAATAATGGGGCCATTTTTCTTAGCTACTGGAAAATCCTTTTCCCCTTTTGAGGAATGTGACACAGAGAAATGATTTGTAGGAAGTTTGACAGTCAGACAGAAGCGATTCAGAAAGAAGCAAAGGGCTATGATTTTAGCTGAATGGGAAGTACTTGGGACTGCAGGGGGTCCAATAAATCAGCAGTTGTTTTACTTGCTGAGAGAGTGCTGATTTGTTTCCAAAAATGTTCTTTGTGTATGTTTCAAAATAAGAAAAATACCATAGATATTCATGCTCTCTCATTCAAAACCTCCAACATGCTATAGTGGCACTCATATGCTTTGCTTCTCTTGGACCCAGTAATTTCTTGCAGGATCAGAAATGCACTTGCAAAGCAGCATGACTGAATTCTCCCAGTTTCCCCATGACAGGGCAGTAGCCCAGTGCCCCATCTAGAATGCTGCTTCAGCTTTCAGTTGGACTGCTCCAGAATGTCCTTCAACTTTCAGGATTAGCTCTTGGGCTGCAAGCAGAGTGAAGCCAAATAAGCTCTTGTTACATTGTGGATTTCTTGGGGGGGGGGGGGGTTGGGGGGGAGGTCACCAGCCTGAACATTTGTAATGAGGAACTAAATAGGCATTTAGGTAAAGAAGGGCCCTATTTATTCTTCCATTAAGGCAACTTTGGGCAAAAACTAGTCTGTCTGAATTATGAAAATTCAGTGATGGCGAACCTTTTAAACACCAAGTGCCCAAACTGCAACCCAAAACCCACTTATTTATCGCAAAGTGCCAACACGGCAATAAAACATGAATACTGAGGTTTTAGTTTAGAAAAAACAACTCATACAATAACATCTTTTGTCTTAAAAGAAAAACACAATAACAGAGCTTTCAATGATACAAACAGCTTTTTATTGAAAGGTAAAAGTATTCCCATCACATATGCTACTAGAAAGGTAATCCAAGCATAAAAAGAACTGATGTCCGAGCCATGCTCAAGAAACTCCCGAGATGATCACGCAAAGGAAGGAGATCTCATGCCTGTAGTAAATCTGTAACAGCAATGTGGAAAGGCAAAAATACCAGTGCACTTCTATCTTAACCCATGCAGAGCGTGGTACACAGACCTCTTATTCTCTCAGTGGGGTATTTTTGCATCTCCCCCTTACCTTTAGCTGAGACCACAACTCTCTTGCTTCTCTATCTCCATAATCTCTCTCAATCAAATCCATTTGGGCTTGGAGACGGTGGCGTATAAAGAAAGTGGGCCAGTCACTCTGCCATTCATTTGTCTGCAAAATAAAAATAACAATAATTAGATGATCATAAAGAAACAGTAATACAGAGCATAAAGTATTTATCCACTGAACACTTCAGTGGAGGACCACTGTTCTCATCATTTTGACTATAATTTCAGAGTGCCACCTCTGTTCACAGCCACAATAACACAAACATGAACCAAAAAAAAAGCCCACAAAAAATTTATTAATTTATTAATTTAAAACATTTCTATGCTGCCCCATCGCAATAAAGCCTTGGGGCGGCTCACAAAACATCAATAAATAACAATACAATAAAACCCCAGTGCAATAAAACCCCAGTGCATTCTCGGCTAAAAATTTTTTTAAAAAAGGGAAAAAAAGGGGGGGGGGGAACCTAGTTAAATAAATAAATTAACAATTAAAATAAGTTTTAAATAAAAAGTTCTTAGCCAGGTGCCGAAATACAAATAACGACAGCGCCAGGCGGACCTCTCTGGGGAACACATTCCATAGGTGGGGCGCCACCGCAGAGAAAGCCCTTCTCCGAGTACTCACCCTCCTAATGTCCTTCACGGAGGGTTCCCGGAGAAGGGCCTCTCCCACTGATCTCAAGGGGCGGGCGGGCATATATGGACGTAAGCGCTCCTTCAGTTAACCAGGACCCAAGCCGTTAAGGGCTTTATAGGTCATAACCAACACCTTGAATTGGGCCTGGACTTCAATCGGGAGCCAGTGGAGCTGACTGAGAACTGGGGTTATATGAGAACAACGCCCAGTCCCTGTCAGCAACCTGGCAGCTCTATTCTGCACCAATTGAAGTATCCGGACCATCTTCAAGGGCAGCCCCACGTAGAGCATGTTACAGAAATCTAATTGGGAAGTTACCAGCGTGTGTGTCTCTGTCGCCAAGCAGTCATTCTCTAGGAAGGGACGCAGCTGATGGATCAGCCGTCGCCGAAGGAAGGCGCTCCTCGCCACCGCCGTCACCTGGGCTTCCAGAGACAGCTCAGGGTCGAGGAGCACTCCTAGGCTGCGAACCCTGTCCCTCAGAGGGAGTGCAACCCCATTTAGGACTAGGCCCAAGTCCCTCATCCCAAGGTCTGAACCGCCCACCAAAAGGACCTCTGTCTTGTCTGGATTGAGCTTCAGTTTACTGGTCCTCATCCAGCCCCCATTACCTCGGCCAGGCACTGGTTCAGCACAGCCACTGCCTCACCTGGATTGGTGGAAAACGAGAGGCAGAGCTGGGTATCATCAGCGTACTGATGATTCCGCAGCCCACACCTCCTGATGACCTCTCCCAGCGGTTTCATGTAGATGTTAAAAAGCAAAGGGGACAAAATGGACCCCTGCGGAACTCCATGGCATAACTGCCATGGCGCAGAGCCATAGTCCCCCAGCACCACCTTCTCGAATCGGCCATTGAGATAGGAGCGGAACCACTGCAAAGCAATGCCTCCGACCCCCAATCCCGCAAGCCTATCCAGAAGGATACCATGGTCGATGGTATCGAAAGCCGCTGAGAGGTCCGGGAGAACTAACAGGGATGCACTCCCCATTTCTCTCCCTGCACAGGTCATCGTACAGGGCAACCAAGGCAGATTCAGTGCCATACCTGGGTCTGAAGCCGGACTGAAATGGGTCCAGATAATCAGTTTCATCCTAGAGTGCTTGGAGTTGTCCCACCACCACCTGCTCTAGTACCTTGCCCAGGAATGGGATGTTGGCCACCGGTCTATAATTGGTGGCCACCTCTGGATCCAGGGATGCCTTCTTTAGGACTGGTCAGACTACCGCCTCTTTTAAAGAGGACGGTATCCTACTGTCTCTTAAAGAGGCGTTGACCACCTCCAGGATCCAGGTGCCAATCCCGTCTTTGGCTTTCTTAAGTAGCCAGGATGGGCATGGGTCTAGTAAGCAGGTGGTAGGACGTACTCATCCAAGCACCTTGTCCACATCATCAGGCCGCAACAACTGAAATTCATCCATTAATTGTGGACTCGACAGCGTCGATGGCAACTCCCCAGTGAAATCTGATTCAATAGCAGAGTCAAGTTCGTGGTGAATCTGAGTGATTTTCTCCCAAAAATGCTTGGCAAAGTCGTCACAGCGGGCCTTCGAGGGTGGCACCAGATCTCTCTTTGGGCCCGGATGTAACAGCCCCTGCACCACCCGAAAGAGCTCCGCCGGACAGCATTGTGAGGAGGCAATGGAAGCGGAGAAGAATTTCCATTTCCATTGCCAAAATGGAATGCACCCAGATGCACATACTGTGGGAAGACAAAGTAAACAAAAGAAGGATGGTAGAGCAGCCCGCACCAGTCCCAGGGTCTTGCACAGAGGGCAATACTGTGGGTTGCACCCATGATGCTTATGATCATCATATGCTTAGCAGGCAGAATGGCAGACGCAATCTTCACCTCCCTGTCTTCCCACCCTGCACGTTTGCTGGACAGACCTTTTGGCGCCGGACAGCTCATATCCCTGGCCTCTCCAGTCTTCTCCCCTCCTTACCCACCCACACACCTTCTTGTACCCTTCTCTGAGATCATGTTCCCAGCACTGGAGAGGGAGCTGGCATGATTCTCCCAAGCTGACTGCAAGGAGGCAGGAAAGCGAGGAAAGAGTTCCAGTACCCACATCCCAGTGGAACATGGTCCAGTCACATGGTTGAGAACTGAAAATGTCCTAAAGTTCTTCACACAGTGTACAGAGACTTCAGAAGTGCTCTTTCAGTAAATGCATTCTGTTTATATGGCAGCAGCTATTAAAACTTGACAGAAACTGGTAGCCACAGAGCAGCCATTATATTGGTCCACCTTTTATGCTGGACCAAATCAACCTTCCTTAGTGTGTCCAGAATACTAAGGTAGCTGTGTCTTTGATCTTGCATCTTCTTTAATAATGAAGATAGATTTGATGGGAGAAAGATAAGCCTTTTTGATCAAGACAGAGCAACTTGTGGCATCTACCTTTAGAAAGAAAGCAAACATCCCCAGAGATGAACAGCTGAGAATTAAACACGATAAATTGCAAACTATTTATAAATCATCCACATCTAATGGTATAAATCCTTTGTGCAAATCTGGCTCCTACCTGACATATATAGCCACAGCAAGTGACTGTATGGAATCCAAACTTATCCACATAGTGAGATTCAGTGTGGCCTGCCCCTTTCCCTGTCAAACAAAATCAATATCAAATTAATCAAGCAAAATCTAATCAAGATCACAGAATAGAAGAGTTGGAAGGGCCATGAAGGCCACTGAGTCCAACCCCCTGCTGTTGCAGGGCACCAATGGGCATGAGCATCTGAATAGGAGAGATGTCAGGATAAATCATGTCCTGGCTTCCCAAGTCTCCTCTCCTCCTTGTCCCCTGAAACTCCCTTCCTCTCCCACTCCAAGGCTGCTTTCCCAACCTCAGAGAGCAGAGAGTAGCCTGTGCAATTCTTCCAGAGGGGATGAGGAAGGAGGGCAGAGTTGTGTTTTGCTGCTCCAAGATCAGAGCTATCATAGGGCTCCTCAGATGATGGTTAAGGGCCAGAGATCATTTCCCCAGGATGCACAGTGGAAAAACAAAGGGGAAGACATTTCCTTTATTTACAGTACGAACTCTGGTATACCTACTCAAAAGAAAGTGGCAATAATTTTAGTGAGGCTTAATTCCACGAAGCCACAATTCCAGACTCATTTAGGCAGGGAAAGGTCCTCGCTTCCCAGCCTTCCTCAGTTTGGCTATACTCTACGTGGGTATAGAATTGAGCCTTAGATACTAGAAGAGCAGTCCTATAGCCACATTCCTGAGAGTAAGTCACATTGGACTCACTGAGGCTTACATTATAGTAGACTAGTATAGTAACAGTAAACCGCTGCAGTAAACAGTTATATTTGCAGGATCATCGTCACCTGCAGTGTTTATTTACCATGTTAACGAAATGGTAGAGAAGGATTAGACAGCAGCAGAAAATTATAGGGAGAAAATAATTCTTTATATAAATATAGCTCTGCAGAGTTTTAGAGATAGAAAGGTCAATATGATAAAAGGAATGTGAGAATAATATTACTTGCATATACTTCTGAATACAATGGTTAATAGAGTAGTACATAATAAACACCTCGGCCTTCATTCAAAGTATGTAGTGCTTACATCCTGCAAATTTAAGTGCACTTAAGCACTACTAACTTCGTCTGGCCTGAGATCATCAGCAAAGGAGCGGTTATTACATAGCTCTACTAGTGCTCAGAATCTATACTCTACCAACAGTGTTTTCTTCTTTCTTTAATTTCCCTCCAAGTTTTTGGTTATAAAGGTGAAGGTCTGCTACTTGCTCTCCAAGTTTTGCAGAGTACCTAGGGGAAAAAAGGAAATACACCCTGACCTTATGGATTAAGAGTATATTAAAGAGACCCCCAAAGCATCAGCCTGAAAGAGAGATTGCAGATTCATGCATATTATGGAAGGCACTGAGAAGGAAAAGACATTTTCTGTCATGAAGAATGCTAAGGTCTGGAATTAGTAAATTTGGAATTAACTTTGAGAAATCACCAAATCAGTACTATCTGTCAGAAATACTGATTGACATAAACATGGAAAAGAAGTGCCTTATATGAGACAATGCTTTAATATAGCCATACATGTTAGCACTTTCATAATTTTCAGGAACTCTAATGTTTAAATAGGCACAAAGGAGAATGTTAAAGTCTTTAGTCAACGCTGAAATGCTACCTTATTTTCCAGAACAAACTATGACAAAAAATACCTGGAATTTTCCTGCTGGGTTCCCTAAAATCTTATGAATAACCAGTAACTGTCAACCGATGCTTAGTCCTTCATTGTGGTATATATGTTTGATCAACACCAAGCTCTTCAGATAACAAGCGGATGGATTCACAGTATCTCATTCCACACAAGCTAGTTGTGCGTACATTCAGATTGGTCCTGTGTGTGACAAGATCATAAGCAAACCCAGATTCAAAGGAAGTCTTTTGAACCTGGAGATGTGTTGAGAGCCCTCTCCAACATGGGAGCCTCACAGAGGCCTAGAACTGACCTCATCTTCAGCCAGCACAATCATTTACTATGCTGGCTAGGAATGATGGTGGCTATGTTTACCCAATCACAAGGCCATGATACATAGGGCAGTGACACCACCAATAATATGAATTACATTGCACCAGCATAAACTACCTTTAGTGTTATGATGGGTTTTCCAGGGAAGCCTGGCACAGCAGCAAACAGTATCTGCATTGTACTCAATCTCATTTATGCTAGCACAATCTAATTTAGATCTGAGGGTGAGGAACTTGTGTCTGACACCCCTGTCGTGGTCAGATCACTTCCTCGTGAGGATTGAGCTCGAGAGCGGCCTTTCCTTCTGTAAGGGTGCGGACCCGATTGTGCTGGTCAGCCCCCGGAGCCGGATGGATCCGGATGGATTCCTGAAGGACCTGGGGAAATTCCCAGTTGATAAGGCTGGTGCGCCTGTCCATGCCTTGGTCGAACTGTGGAATGGGGAGATGACCAGGGCTATTGACACGATTGCTCCTAAGTGTCCTCTCCCGCCTGGCAGAGCCCATTCATCCCCCTGGTATACATCTGAGCTACGGGCGAAGAAGCGAATTGGGAGACATCTAGAGCGTAGGTGGAGGAAATCATGGGATGAATCTGACCGAACACACTTAAGAGCCCATTATCGGGCCTAAGCTGTGGCGGTGAGGGCAGCAAAGAAGAAATTCTTCTCCGCTTCCATTGCCTCCTCACAATGCCGTTCGGCAGAGCTCTTTCGGGTGGTACAGGGGCTGGTTCATCCAGGCCCAAAAAAAGATCTTGTGCTACCCTTGACGGCCCACTGTGACAACTTCACCAAGCATTTCAAGGAGAAAACAGCTCAGATTCGTCACGAGCTGGACTCCACTAGTGACTCAGAACCTTCGGGGGAGGTGCCAATGTTGCCGTCTGGTCCACAATTGATGGATGAATTTCAGTTGCTGTGGCCTGATGATGTGGACAAAGTGCTTGGACAAGTACATCCTACCACCTGCTTACTGGACCCTTACCCATCTTGGCTACTCAAGAAAGCCAAGGACGGGATTGGCACCTGGATCCTGAAGGTTGTCAACGCCTCTCTAAGGGACGGCCTTCCCCCAGACCTCTCAGTGGCTTTCGATACCATCGACCATGGTATCCTTCTGGATAGGCTGGCACACTAGATACTACCTATTGTAACTATGGAGCTGGAACTCAATGACTTTTGACTGAAAGAGCATGGGGGGCACTAACAAGAGTCAACCAATGAAAACAGAATGGACGATTGTGTGTCTCTAGGTGGCCATCACATTCTCCAAACAATAAGACTCGTAGGGTCTGTGTTAAGGCTAACATAGCATTTGAGAGTACCCTGTCTGGGGCTGGGACATGGTTGCAGGATGCAAGGCAGAGGCACCACCACCAGGGCAAAACAGAACCCAGGGTAAAACAGAATACAAAGTCCAATAGCAAAGTTCAATAGCAAGTCTAAGTCATTGTGACAGAACAAGCCAAGGTCAGGATCCAGAAGTATGTATCAGGGCAAGACAAAGGCATCATCATGAACAAGCCAAAGGCTGAGAACCAGCAAGACAAACAGAGGTGCAGGTTTCTTGAAGCAGGATAACCGGGCAGGATTTGGGAGCGATGAAGGTGTGGCAAGGAAGACAAGGTAGTGAAACAGCAGGGTAAGGTAGGATACACAGCAAGGATTAGGCAAGGTACAGGAACTGACCCACAGCTAGCAGGAAGACCTGCATTGCTAAGGTGATACAGCAAGGTGGGACAGGACAAGAATCAGATCAGGCAAGGTGCAGAAGTTGTATATGGCAAGGCAGGACACAGCAGGAACCAGAGACAAGTGCAGGAGCTGAACCACACCGGAACTAACAGAAAAACCTGCTTTGCTGAGGTAAGACAAGCAAGATGCAGGCACTACAACAAACAGGAAGAACTGGAGCAAAGGGGTTGCTCTTAGATAGCTCTTCTGCCAGAGCTCCCAGCTGTCACTCATCAGAAGGCTGAAAGCTACAGCAGGGCCTGGGACCAATCTTGTGAATACTGAAGTGGGCATTCTGGTTCTGGCCACCAGATGGAGCCTCAGAGCAGCCCAGATCCTGACACAGCCCAGCCTAATGGCACAGTGATCTATAAGGGAAAGCAGGGGAAATTCAGAGGGTTCACAGCTTCAGTATTACTGAAAAACCTGGAGGTGGGTAGGGCCAAACAATCATCTTCTCCCTCTTCCTGCTCCCCCCCCCCACTCTCTAATCTCACACTGGCATTTTTCCCCCCCGATTTATATCCTGCCTTTTTCCTACAAAGGGCTCAAGGCAGCTTACATCTCCTCCTCCATCTTATCCCCACAACAACCACCCTGTGAGGTAGGTTGGGCTGAGAGTCTGTGACTGGCCCAAAGTCACCCAGTTGGCTGCATGGCTGAGCGGGGACTAGAACCCAGATCGCCCGAGTCCCAGTCCCATGCTCTTAACCACTACACCGCACTGGCTCTCACATTTTCAACTTGCAATCAATGACCATCATTCAGATCATGGCTCGCAACTGCAGGCCTTTATGCTCTACACACAGATGCCTGGGAGAGTGGATACACAATACATGAGCCATTGTAGGGCAGAGGTACACAACAGCATCCTTCCTGCTCTTGTGCTGAGTCTTCTTAATAGAGCCTCTCTCTACCAACTTCCTTCTCTTTCTAACATCGCCCTGCATCCCTACCTATTTCTCCCCATGAAGTAGGGGCTTCCAGAGGTGCAGTAGATTGCTTTTAGCAGTCTAAATCACTCAGTTGCACAGGGCTGTTGAAATTAGGCCAAAGGGCATAGGCAGCCCTAGAACTGATGGTTGTTCACCCCTATCTGGTCTGACTATTTCCTCACCAAGTCACTACAGCCCTTATGCCTAGTTCTGAACTACACTGCATGATTGAAAAAGCCCTTAAAGAGCAATGGATCACTGGTCTCTAAACAACTAAGCATCTGCCTTCCACTGAAACTGAGTAGCAAAACCCAGATCAAACTATAAAGATTTTATAGACGTTAAGAACCATGTGAGGTCTGAAAGTTAGCATTTGGCCCGCAGGAAGCCCATCCAGCCCAAACATTCCATACAAAACAGCATGGACATTCTCAGCACTTTGACAGATGCATATAATTGTCAAGGTGCAGAGTACATGGAGCTGAGGTAAGTAATGGGAGAATTTCCCTTCTGGCATAACTTCACTGAAGTCCTCCCATGATATGGATGTGAGCTTGTTAATTCTCTATAATATACTTTACTTCCAAGCCTATTATGTTTAAAGACGATAAAACATTCCCTTCCCAAAATTGCCATGGAGAGGCAACACATAAGAAAATGCAGAGAACCAACAACCCAGCTTGGTTGGGAAACTTAGAAAGAAATTGAGCCCGAGATTCAGTCTGGCCCTCCAAGCTTCCCCAAATGTCTATGTGCCTTTCTGATAGCCATTCCCTTCTCCCCAGCCACAAAGAGTTTGGTCATTTCCTGACTTTTGTGCAATGCCTCCCACCCAAGAGGCTAAAATGTCTCTCCTCTGGTTTAGCCACTGAAAGCAATCCTAAGAGCTGTGAGCGACAACATGCTGGATTTTTGTTGCTGCCCTATTTTGGTCCCACCCCTTTGCCTGCACACCATTAGAATGCAGGCCCTTGAGTGTCCCTGAAATTGCATGAAGCCCTTGGGATGAAAGAAGTTCCCCACCCCTGTCTGAGCAGCCCTCAACCATACTTGCAGAGGCGCTTCATTCTGAGGTACTCCATGGCAAACGCAGCTCCACCTCCTGGCAGATCCATCACTTTAATTGGCTGTGGGACCCGCACAGTGTTGGTTTCCTGAATGGCTCGTAAACTTGCCATCTCCCCCTCAAACATTGTCCTAGCCTGGTCAGAAAGAAGAACAGGGCTGAATACAACCGTTCCTTAAGCTGCACATTTGGCTGTCGCAGGAGAGCTTTTTTTTGTCATTGTAAGGAATTAATATATGGAGGAAAAATGTAAAGACAGCAAATTTTAATAAAGTTTCAGTGGAAATGTTAGGCAGTCACATTTATTTAGATTTGTAAACTAGCCTATCCTTGAAAGCTGGGATTTGCACACACACTCAAAATGCTGGAATGGAATTTACCAATAGGTAACAAATAAAGAATAACAAGGGCCCTGCATGTAATTCACTAATGTAGGGCCCACTGATAGCAGTATTGCCAATTTGTCCTGTGTACAACATTAGAAAACTCTTTTAGCATAATCAGATTAATTAATAATTCTCTGGAATAGATCTGTTTATGCACAGATAAACTATGGGAAGATAAATCAGAATAATTTCTAAGGCATAGGCTTGCTTTACTTGAATTCACATGTTAGTCAACAAGAGCATGGGAGAAAGAACTACTGACTACGGTGTGACAAACCAGGAATTAAATACAGATTACCACAGGTAATCCACTGTTTGTATATTTTGGTTTGATTGCACACTATTAAATATCTGGAAGCAAAAAGGGATTGTACTGTAAGATTTCAAGTGTTCTCAACACTGAGTCAGGAGATGACCTAACTGGATCCTTATTCCAAGTCCTTAAACTTTTTTTTTAAACAGGCTTTAATTATTGGTTTTACTGAGAGCTTTAGCTATAGGATGCCTCCTAAACTGAAATCATCATCTTAGAATCACTGTAAAGCTATTTCTCTCTAGATTTCACACGTAACAAGAGAAAACCAGTCGTCTATCGTCAAGCGATCTCAGAACAATATTAAAGGTCCCCGGACCTCGCCCACCACAACATATAAATCGAGGACAATCCCACACCGGATTCAGCTTGCCAAAGGGGAGCAGCCACCCGCCCACCCGTCTTCCCGAATGCAGCCATATTAGTAACTACAGAATTGTCAATGTCGTCGATAACCTGAGGCTTGCTGTTGATTTTAACAAACACCCGCCCGTGATCGGTTTCATAGCTCTGCCCTTGGCTTATGCACCCGCCTCCCGAGCTCCCAAATGCCTTCAAAACCGTAGTTTTCAATTCGGTTTTCAGCAGCTTTTCCATGGCGCTTAAATGCTGCCTGTTGTTGTCGCTATTGTTGTTGTTGTCGTATGATTCCCTCTTCGGCCTCCAAATACTGCAAGCGGAGTCCTTCTCTTGCTTTATTCTCTTTGCGGCAAAATGCAAACTGACGCACAGCAAGCAAAATGAGCGCGGGGGCTGCGCCTTTTAATAGCCAGTAGAAAAAGCCGATCAGCTCCTAATTTTGCAAAATAGCCAAAAGGCTTAATTATGCTAAGAATAAATTAGGAACATGTAATCTGTTGCAAACAAACGTGGTTGCTGGGTATATCTTGGGGGCCTTCCGAGGCTGCCCCGATAGCTGTTGTATTTGTTACGGATTTTTTACTTTGGACTCTTTCCCCCCGCCCCACCCCCCCTTCTGTGCCCACGTGAGTGCTAAATAAATAACATCTTAAAGGAATCCAGTAGGGGGAGCGCTCCTCAATTAAACCGCCGATCCAAGGTTTACAGAAAAGCAGGCTTCGGGGGAGGGGGGTGTTACACAGCTATTACATTTTAAAGAATTAAATGGAAAAGACAGCCTTTAAACGCTGTTTTAAAGCAAAGTGTAAATCATCGTTTGCATTTTCTGCATCTAATCCTTTAAGCTTTAGTTTCATTGGGTGTCTATTTTAAATGGCTCCGTTCGGTTTCTTCTGCTGCGATATTCACTG